TTAATCTTATTACATATGTATGTATATTAGGGCGGGTCGATTTGTAGGGGCCCGAAATAATTAACAGAGGCACATCGTGATTATAATTATTTGGGTCATTTCATGCTGTCGCACATGTCATTTGTCATACAATATGTCGATAAACAGTATTGCCAACATAATATTAAAAAAAATACGTTATACGTGTTTAAAACTTGAAATATTAGAAATTGTATATGTTTTTTTCATTTACATTTCATATGTTTTTATTTTTAAGTTGAATTTTTGAATAAAAAAAAATATATACTAAAATAAGAAAAAAAATTGTTTTGTAAAATTCAGAGAACAAATAAAAAAAAAACGAATTTTGTGTTCTAAATTGAATAAAGTCGATATAAGTTGTGCATGAATTCTCCTCCCTTCCCCCTAATTTTCAACGCTGACCATTTTAGGCTATTTAAAAATTGAAATTGCATTATGAGAAAGTCAAATTTCGTGGATTTTCGCAACCACGTTGTCGATTTTCGCAAACAAGGCGTTAACACCAAAAAAAAGGTACGGAAGCGCCCTCTGGCGGCCTTCAAAAGAAAAAATTAATGCCAGAAATGGATTCCTCGACCTCAAAAACCCCCAGATACACATTTTGACCCGCCCTAATATGTATGTACATTAGACCGTAACACCGTATCGTTGTATATGTATGTATGTACATTAGGGTGGCCCAAAACAGTTAAGTCGGAATTGTAATGCTCTCACCCCCTAGGATTGTTCTATATCAAAAAAAAGTATAACCGACTTCCAAAAAAGGAGGAGGTTATCAGTTCGTCGGAATATCTTTTTTTTTTGTTTTTTATGTATGTTACCGCATAACTTTAGACCACGTCAACCGATAATTCTTTTTGCATCAGAAAGGTAGTGTCTCAGAGGTGGTCCCATGCTAATCCGGTTTAGATCCGATCATTGGATCATGAGATGTATATATATATATTATATATTATTTATTGTATATATTGTTTATTTTGAAATCAAAAAATATTTAGAGGCCGCTCAAAGCGCTCAAA